ATGTCACTTGTACATTTTCTAATTCAACTGTTAAATGTGTACCACATTGTTTGACTTGGGGCATCACAGCCGCTCATGCATTATCTGGGCGATATAGCCCTATTATATTTTCTGACTGACGTTCATTTTGCCCCCCTGCCATCTCACTGTTAGGGGTAAATGACTCAGGGTGCGCACTTTTTTTAAATCTATGCTGTGACCGGTACCAATCTTCATCCTATCTCCATATTCTATTTGAACATGTTTTTAGTTCTCAATTACTTTGAACCTCGGACAGATGAATGTACATTCTTACTCTTGACGTCTCATTAATTCTTGTTTTGCATAATCTGTTCCTACATAGGTGAAGTATTTTCCGCACTTAGATATTGACTTTTTATAAATCTTTTGAGATATGTTCTTGTATTCGTGATTACCATGCAAAGCACTAAACAAATAAAGAATAATAAAATAATAATAAAAAAAAAAATATATAAATATTAATAATGAAAGGCTTGCACTCACGGTCTTGTTTTGTTTAAAAGATTACTTTATTTAATATCTTTAAAATCCAATCAATGTGGCTTTCATCAGGATCAATTCAGCATCCAGCATTTTGAAAATTAAAAGTGTGTGTGCAAGGACAAAGAGAGACATTATATATATATATATATATATATATATATTATTATGATATTTATAGAGCGCCATCAAATTCCGCAGCGCTTTACAATGGGTGGACGAACAGACATGTAATTGTAACCAGACAAGTTGGACACACAGGAACAGAGGGGTTGAGGGCCCTGCTCAATGAGCTTACATGTTAGAGGGAGTGGGGTAAAATGACACAAAAGGGTAAGGATAGTATTAGACTAGTGACAGTTGCAGAAGAGGAATCAGTCAGGACCTATTAACAGTTTAATTGATATGCTTTTATGAAGAAATGGGTTTTTAACGATTTTTTGAAGGAGTGGAGACTGGGTGAGCATCTAACGGAGGAAGGAAGCGAGTTCCACAGGAACGGTGCAGCCCTCGAGAAATCTTGAAGGCGAGCATCAGAGGTGGGAGTATGGACTGAAGATAGACGTAAGTCTTCAGCAGATCGTAAGGGCCTAGACGGGACATACTTGTGTATAAAGGAGGATAGATAGGTGGGAGCAGCATTATGTAGAGATTTGAAAGCAAGAACCAGAATTTTAAATTGAGCTCTGTATTTTATAGGAAGCCAATGTAGGGACTGACAGAATGGTGAGGCATGGGAGGTACGGGCGGACAGGAAGATGAGCCTCGCCACCGCATTCATTATGGACTGTAACGGCGCAGGTTGGGAGCACGTAAGACCACTGAGAAGCGGATTACAGTAGTCAAGGCGAGAAAGGACAGTGGGATGGACCAACACCTTAGTCGCATCTGGCGTTAAGTAGGGGCAGGATTTGGAAATGACAGGATTTGACGATAGATTGAACATGAGGTTTGAAGGAGAGGTCGGAGTCAAAGAGATCACCTAGGAAGCGAGCCTGCGTTGTGGAGCTGATGGTAGCACCGTTGACTTGGAGGGAGACAGACACAGGAGTAACAAGACTTCAGGGAGGAAAGACCAGAATTTCAGTTTTGGTCAAGTTTAGTTTAAGGAAGTGGGCAGCCATCCAGTTAGAAACAGCAGAGAGGCAGTCAGAGACACTAGTCAAGAGGGACGGGGAGAGATCAGGAGAGGACAGGTAGATTTGCGTGTCATCTGCATAGAAATGATATTGGAAGCCAAAGGAGCTAATGAGTTTACCAAGGAAGGCAGTATAGATGGAGAACAGTAGGGGACCAAGGACTGAACCTTGGGGGACACCAACAGAGAGGAGTTGGGGAGAAGAAGCAGAGCCAGAGAAAGAAACACTGAAAGAGCGCTGGGAGAGGTAGGAGGAGCACCAGGAGAGAGCAATATCTTGTAGACCGATATTGCAGAGGATGAGAAGAAGCTGTTGATGATCAACAGTGTCAAAAGCCGCAGACAGGTCAAGGAGAATTGGGATAGAGTAGTGACCACAAGATTTTGCAGCGAGTAGATCATTGGATACTTTGGTCAGTGCCGTTTCCACAGAGTGGAACCTTCCCTAATTACCCACCTTTCTTAACTTCCAACCCTATCAAGAAAATCCTCAAGCGTATTTATAAGGTTACAGTTTCCCCAGCACTACCAGATTAACGATAGATGGTCCCATGTTTAGGCTTCTTAGCAACCAACTGGACAAATCCCTGTTTGACTGTAATACAAATCTGTTCATTAAAGCCGCCTCTTGGCTTTCTATGGTTTCCTCAGACCTAGGGAGTTCACAGTCATACGTCAAGGAGATACTGCACTATGCCTTAAACTTTCTCACCTAAAGAAAGTAGAAGACCACTACATACTCTCATTACCTTCTACCAAAACCAATCACACCGCTTATCCAACTATCATTCCCCTTTTCCCTACCGAGAACAGTTTGGTGCCCAGTAAAAATACTTGATATACTCCTGTTGTCTCACCACACGCACTCACCTTACACTCCACTATTACTACTGGAAATCCTCAATTTATAATATTTATATACCTCGACCAGAGAGGAAGCTCCGACAAGCCTTCAGAAATCTTGCTATATAACTTGCAATAAAGTGTGTTTACTTTGAATCCTCCCTTTGCCCTCTTTTTATTACAGGACTACTCGTACGTTGGTTTCAGCACACCTCAACCAACTTTGCATCTCCTTCTACGTTCCATTACGTATGAGAAATTTCGAGCACAAGTTAAACTGCCATTTAGCCTGAATTTGTGGAAGGAGTTATGACCCCTATTTAAACTCCTACCCCCCCTACTCACCTTTGCCGTTCAAGCTGTTTGTCCCCACCCACCTACACCCATCTATATATACATTTCACCTTTGTGGGCCCTCTTTTTATATTAGAAGCCTACTTGTACGTTGCATCATCTTATACATTCCATTATGTATGAGAAATTCCGAGCACAAATATATATAAATATATATACCAAGCAAAAGAAAAATCAGCACTCCCAGGATTTGTAAATAAGCCAAAAAAAATACTTTACTCCACAGGTCAACGTTTCAGCTCCTCTTGGGAGCTTTCATCAGGACAGCATACAAAGCATAAATGAAAAACAACAGAGCTTAAATAGGGACATAAATCCAATTAAAACTCACAATCCAGGTGTGCTGATGGAGAACCTCCCCTCCTCTCGAGCGTCCGCTCAAACGCTATCAATTCCCGGCATTTCCCCACTTCCTGCTCACGCCGTCACGTGATATACGTGACATCACCCCGTTCATTACGTTGCCATGGAGATCGGGACGCCATTGCGTCTAACAACGATCTCCTCAGTTACTTCCTGAATGGCTGCGTCGTCCGTAGTCATAGTGATACCGGACGCATGCGTATCTAGCTTGGATATTCCGGTCTCTACATCTATCCTCCACCAAGGAAGGAATTAAAGCTGTAACCTGTGTATATACTAAAATCTAGAGAGAGGGGAAGAAAAAGCCACATATACAAAACGAACCCCTAAATCCTATAATAAAAACCAAAGGTTAATGGTACTATCCACCTCTATGTGAATACAATAGTGACAACACCAATATTTAAGATCCAAACAACGATCCCATGTTCTATAAAAATTATAACTAACCCACTAATGACATACTGAGCTAATAATTGACATACTGTGAAAAAACCTTAAGCAAGGTGTTATAAAGATAGACAATAATGTCATTAGCAATATGTGTATATGATTGTGGTAATATTCATATTTGGACATCCATAGGGATGTATCCTTCATCATGTGTCAAACTCATAATTGATTATACATCTATCTAAACTTTAAAGTGCACGTGCATATATTTACGTGAAAAACAGTAATAGACAATATCAGTAATTAAAGTGAAACAGTGCCTAGAATCCAAGATTAACTCCATGCCAATCCATAAATTCATATAGTCATCTATGTCCTAAATCCCTATTGGACAGAACATCTAACAAA